GACCCTCAGCCCCTCGCTCGACTCGCTGGCCTCGCTGACACCACCCTAAAAGTACAATTATGACACTGCTGCTCAGGGATCACCACTACCAGGGAGGAAGGGGGAAAGGCCTCTCCTTATCAGCTGACCAGGTCAGTCCTGGGCGACAACTCCAAAGCAGAACAGATCTGGATTTGTGAAATGTGGGAATAGCAGAACAATAATCAGAATAGGGGGAAAATGATAGATTAACACCTTACCTTACTAGAAACACGATCTAGAAAATAAGGGCAGTGTGCACACTGCGTGGCAACCAAATCTCTTAACTCTCACAGTTGGAAACAACTAAAAAATGGTGGCCAACTTTGAACGTGTCACCGTCCTGTGTCCACCGTCCCAACCATCATTGAATCTCCTGCATCAGGCTTCGGAGAAAAGGCCTTTTCTGAGCCTCCATGCCAGGGCTTCAATCTGCCATTTCCCCCACTCTAGTTATCGTTCTGATAAAGGCCTATTTTACAAATGTGGATCCATCTGAATTTTGCCCAGTCGGCCATGATCAAACTAGTTGGAAGGCCTGGTTCTAACACACCACCTTGTGTTTAGCCTTTTGGCTGAAGCATCAGGACAATGAAACTTCACACCTCAGCAACATGAATGACCAATTTTAAACAAACCCCAGCAATTGCCTTTTCACTAATGTAGGTAGAAAATCATTTCTTAAGACCAATACCCTGCACTGGGCATCCAATACCCCTTTCCTCTTCTCCCCTCCTGCTGGTAACACTTTATTTCTAGGTGTGAAACATTCACACCAAAGAGAATGACTCCTTGAAAGGAAATGCTGATTCGTGCAGCCTATTGTGATCGGACAACAGGATATGCCTCAGGAGACAGGTTTTTCCCACCTCAGCACTACTGACACCCTGCGGCTGAGTCCTTGAGATGGGGCCGCCTGTGCCTGTGCAAGGCAGGATGTTCAAAGGCATCCCTGGCCTTGCCTCTCTCCCTACTAGATGTTAATGACACTCACTCCAGTGATGACAAAAGAATGTCTCCCGCCACTGCCAAATGTCCCCGGGTGGGTGGGTGGTCAAAATCCCTGGCTTGGAACCTCTGCTGTAGAGAAAAGGGTTTGAAGGCCCCAGTGGTGTGTTCTCTCCTTCTACAGGAGAAAACCCAGCTTTCTACAGCACAGTACAGCTGGACTCGGTTGACAGGCTCAGCCCACTACAGGCAATTTGATCTTGGCAACTGTGTAAAACCAAAACAAAAACCCACATTGTTTATTCTGGTACAAGAAAAATTAAAAGCCATAAAAATATTCGGGAAAGCAGAGGTAAAGGATTTGGAGGTAACAGCAACAATGAGGGAGAAAACATCTTCGTAAGTTCCCATTTCCCGTTTCCCCGGCTGACACATCAGCCAGGGGTTCCCCACATCCGTGTCCATGACTCAAACACCAACACAAGGCCACAGCTCACCATCTGATAGCACTGGTTCAAGGAGGTCCAATCTCCAAAACTATTTCTAAGAAGAGCTCCTAAACCAAAACTCCATTTCATTGTACGCAAAGACATAAAGAGACACATACATTTTACCCCATTGTTTTATTAAACCAGATAGTTTAAATGTACATTGTTTTGGTATTTTTAAAATTTTTTTGGGGGGGGTGTCAATTTTACTTTTTTTAAAAAGAAAAAGTACAAAAACATTTTAATGTCTTAGAAAATTAACAAAACAACTAAAAGTTTAGCATATTACATTGTACAATGTTTAGATAGGAATGTTTGAAGATTATAAATAGTGTTCCCTCTCAAGAGAGCATATGACAGAAAATATATTTTTAAAACTTTTTCATGTATAATTCTGGTAAATAATCGTTATCTCTACTTACTAAGGAAAAGTCCTGATTAGGCGGCTCACACACTCCTGAAAGTCTCTGACCAGTAATTACAAGAGTAAAACTGAGGGCTGCATGCGTTTTGACAGCTGATACGAGAGTAAACTATTCCAAATATTAGAATTCAGTTAGTATCAAAATATTTCCAATGGGATTTCTGTACTGCCTTCTATGGTGTTTATTGTAACCAAAGTATTGTTTAAAAGGGGTTTTGCCTTCTTGAGCTTGTGCCATTGAAGCTGGGCTGAAAATCAGTAACACTGCACACACAGAAATCTTCTACACAACCATGTATGCACATTGCACATGCCTGGTCAAGATCCAAATGTGGCGGTAAAGCAGGCAGACAGTCCACAGACTGGCAGCCCTGGACCAGGGAGCCTAGGGTGAAACAGCTAAGTCCAGCTGATGTTTTCTGATGTAGCTGTGGAACATACCAGGTTTAAGGCAGGCCACCTGCTAAGGAACATGGCCACCACCCCACTTCCCATCAGCGGCCACACACATATCCCACCACCACCCCACCCCAGCCTACACTGTTCCCACTGCACAGATTTCCCAGGGGTCGTCGGCTTCTTTGTAAAGCATCCTTTCCTCATTATTTAGGAGAGATACTGGAGTAAGTCCCCTGGTGAGATGCATAATCAAACCACAGGAAGGATTCCATTCCTCATCTAAGTCTTATTGGTCTAATAAATCTGTCAGCTACTCAAGAAAAGGATAATACTGTTACATGGCTAATATCCAAATTAGCTGAGAAATTTCAAAGGCACATGATACAAAGATATTTCTGGTAATAAGAATCTAAATTTTATAAAGGTACTTCTAAAAGATCATTAAATAAAAATTATATTTTCACTAAACAGTCAAGAACCTTAAGATAAATTCCTAAAGGCCATTTCATTGGCAAAGAGTTTCCAGTCATAAAAGATACTTTATGAGATTATACTGTAATTTCCTCTTGTAAATAAATACATACACTGAAATTCTAAAACAATATGATTCTAGATGTGCACATCTTTCTTAAATCACTGCAAGCATCAGCAGAAGGCTGCCTGAGCTTCTTCCTGCCTCACTCAATACTTGCAGAGAAAGAGGAACTTGAACTCTGGTTTTGTTGCAATAACTGAATTACGACCATATTTATTTACAATACTAAGCATCATTGCATCAGAACCATAATTACTTTTATAAAAATTTCATAAATTATAAACAGTGTTGGAAGGCTTAATTTCATAAAAATTATTGTCAATTCCAAAACAGACTACGAAAACCTCCCCCTAAACACCTTTTGGGTCATGCCAATAACAACTATAGTCCTAAACTCCCTGTTAAACTTGTTTTTATTGGGAATTTCCTCTACTACCAGCCAAATAAAGCAGGAAAAGCAGAAAAATGAACATCCTAAGATGGCTCATACAATGGCAAGGTTTAATCTTCATGTTTGACTCTAATTAGTAAAACATACAGTCAATTTCCCATTGCAGTGTGCTTCCTAAGTTACCCAAATAATTATTATTTCAAATTAGCTTCCACTACTCAATATACTCAACAATTGGACCAATTAGCAACATCATTATAGAAGGAGAAAAGACTAAAGTTGTCAATTATTTCATTTTACTTGGATCCACAATCAACAATAGCAGTCCAGAAATTAAAAGACATGCTACACTGGGGAAATCTGCTCTCAAAAGAACAATGATGTCAGTTTAAAACCCAAAGTGTAACGAATCCAAGCCAGGGTATCTTCAGTTGCTTCACATGCATCTGAAAGTTGGACGATGAGTAAGAATGACAGAACAACTGATGCCTCTGAATTGTGGTGTTGGAGGAAAGTATTGAATGTCCCATGGACTGACAAAAGAACAGACACGTTTGTCTTGGGGAAGTGCAACCAGGGTGTTTCCTGGAGGCCAGGGTAATGACACTTCACGCACACTGACTTTGGCACGTTGCCAGGAGGGGCCAGTCCATGGTAGAAAACATCATGCTCAAAGGCGGAGGGTAAGAGGAAGACCCTCAATAGACGGCCTGACACAGTGACTGTAATGGGCTCAAGCATGTCAGAGATGGAGATGATGGTGGCCGACAGGGCAAGGTCCTGATAGGTTGTCCACTGGGTCGCTATGAGTCACTGTCAACCTGATGGCATCTGACAGCAACAACAAAAAACTCAGTGTATGGAATCTCTGTATTGCACAAATGGTTAAGTGCTCAACTATTAGCCCCAAATCTGACAATTCAAATCTACTTGTAAGCACTTTGGAAGATGGGCCTAGTGATCTGCTTCCAAAAGGAGATCTTGAAAACCCTTGTGGAGTAGTTATATTCTGCAAACACAGGGCTGCCAAGAATTGGAACTGACTCAACAGCAATTAATTAATGAAAACCACTCAACATAATCCTCTCACAGCCAGGTGGGTATCTTGGGCAACAATGGTAGCCCATCACTCTCAAAGCTAAAGACGAAGAGTTGAGGTGAGAGTATATGCCAAAGTGATGGAATGAGATAAAAGTTTGTGGAAGAAACATCCTAGCAGAATCTAGAAAACCTCCACTGGCCAGATCACATTCCAGAAGGGAAGCCAGGAAATGGCAGTCCATGACTTCTTCTTCAGAGCACCAACGTCAATGGCAGTCTTGTCAGATGGCACAAATGTCAGGCAGGTCAGACACTCAAGTTTGACAATATACAGTAGAGAAGCAAACACACTCTCAAAGTCAATTGGCAGCCAGTCTAAAGAGGTTCCCACTGTTCAGTGATGTGGACCACTGACACTTCACTCACCAAACAGTGCAGTTGTTGAAGGAGATGGACGGTGCCTCCAATACTGCCATATTCTAGAAAGAATCTCAGAGAACTGACTGAAAGGTAAATTTCAGAAGCTGAGTTTTCAAAGAAAGAGTAAGGATATTGACAGCACTAACTAACTTATTTTGGTTTTGTTCCCACCCCTATCCCAGCCCGTGATAGAGTCCTAACTGCAGGGAGATAAATATGAAGGTTTCCTTATTATATTCACATAGTTGGAAGCACTAACAGGAGAAACGCTAGGAGCAGCGAAGCCAGTTCTTTTGAGTTTAGCACAAAGCTTTCCAGCTACACTTGGCATGTGTGTAACTGACGCCACCACTTCTGCCAGGCTCAGTTATTCAGTGGTCTTTTTTTCTTTCCAGTTCTTCTCTCTCTCCTCAAGTTCTGCCTGGGTGAATGCTGCAGGGCCCCAGTTAGTGATCAGGTGAGGATTTTTTGCACCTAGGAGACAAACATGTTTTAAACACCCAAAATACTATAGTCTTCAATGCATATTGTATGTAATCATGTTTGCCAGTAACTTTTCTGCTTTATTTCTTCTCTAAGAAACATATGCATGACTAGTATGCTTTACCAGTTCAAGCAACTAGACAACAGATACAAAGGGATTAGCTGGGCCCTCTTACCTATGAGAGAGCAAGTTATTAAAATTTACCCTAAACAGTTTGGATTGTGTGAATTTGGCTACAAAAAAAAAAAAAGAGGCACAATATAAATACACAAGCTAGAAAAATAAATTGAATAAGTATTATTTCAGAGAGTCTGTTACCTGGTTCTATCAATCGGATTAGGCCTTCATGTTGGGCCACCTTGTCCTTCCAGCTCTTGGTTTTACTAGTTGCCATCTCCAGCTTCTTTTTAACTTCCTGGAATAAAAAGTAGATTTAGGACTATGTGAGCAAACAGGTAGTGTAAAGAACCAGGTAACGATGATTGGGAACTTCAAATACGCTCGTGGATGAGCTCATTAAATCTTCATAGTTACTCTCAAGACATAGGAACTATCATTACTATTATTATTATTATCCCCATTTTACAGATGAGGAGCTAAAGTTTAAGTCACCTCTGTGGAATCACACAGCAAGAAGCAGTAGAGTTAGGATTTTGACTCAGGTTGCCTGATTCTGTAAAAGCCCTGTGCTCCTCCCACTTACTCGTGCTAGTTATAGAGGGTATACAATCCTTGTGTGCCTGTTACCAGTTCACTGCCTCTCGGCTCTAAACCACCCTTCCCTGTCCCTTGCATTATTTCAACTCTGGCAGCAGACAGGGCTGAGAGGACATGGAAGAGGATGGGGCTTCTCTTTGAGGTTCCACCGTGCCCTTCCTGCTCTGCCCCCGTGGCAGAGTGTCTATATCGTCTGGAGAGTTTCAGGCTAACTCTCTGTGGGCAGCTTCCCCATCAGTTCTGCTGGCTCAACACCACAACAAATGTTCTGCTGCCCAGTGGGCCAAGGTTATGCCTTCTCCAAGGAGGCCTCAAGTCAGCGCTGGGCAGCAGATGTGTTTTTCCCCTCCGTCTCCACCTCAGTCTTAGAGGCAGTAGCTGATTCTTATTGCTGCCATTTCTGACTTCTTGACCCTTTATTAGGTAATCTCATTATAGCTAATAATGCTTATGTCAAACTTCCCTTGTTCTAAAAACAATATCATTTCTGATTAGACCTAACTGATACCTACACCTTACCCTCAACGGCGACTTCTTTTCTGCCTATAATTGTTTGGTGCCATTGAGATGAATATGACTAACAGCAACACTATGAACAATAGATCTGAACCCTGTCCTATCCTGTGCCACCTCCGGTCTCTGACACACTCAAGTCCATTGCTGCAGTCACTGTGTCAGTCCATCTGGTTGAGGTCTTCCTCTTTTTTGCGGACCCTCCAACTTTCCAAGCATAATGCCCCTCTCTAAGGAATAGCCTCTCATTGCAACATGCCCAAAGTATGTGACATAAGAGGACAGGGCTTTACTTCTAGGTTCCATTGTGTTTATCATGATCCATACTTGGAACTAAGCAAAAATTCCATTCCTGAGAAATGTTCACTTTTAAAACCTTAAATAGACTGATGTGTGCAGGAACAAACTTAATCACCTCATACTGCTCGAGCGCTTGTTTCCGCTCTAACTCCAGCTGTTCTAGCTGCTTCATGGCTTCCTGCAGGGCCTGCTCTTTCATTACTCGCTGGTTCTCCAGCTCCTGCTTCTCTGCCTCTGTAGTCTGGATGGCCTGCTGCTGCTCCAAGTGCCACTTCTCCAGCTCAGCCCTCTTGGTGGACTCTTCTTCCAGCAACCTACAATGTGGAGAGGGCACTTTGGTCAAAGCCTGGACCACTGGAGCTCTGGCCCAGCCATTGCACCTGACCCAGTGAAGAGAGTATCTGAGATCGTCTCCATTCCACAGGAGGAAACTAGGGCCAGAGAGGCCCAGAGTCACAAAGGCAGAAAGGTGTCCTGCTCCAAGGGACACACTAAGGGGTTGACTGGACTTTACAATTTATTAATTATATTATTCAATGGTAACTGTTATAAAACAGTTGTAAAACAAAATGTCTATGAATAATTTAGGAAAATCCAGTATGATTTGTGAAACTTCACTCAAATAAAAATTAAAAATTAAAACTGAATTAACATTCACTGAGTGTTTAGTGTATGTTAACAGCAAAGTCCATTATTGTAATTAATCTTAAACTTAATGTGGACACTACTGTTTATTTATATTTTAGAGATGAAGAAAGTATGGTACAAAGGTTAAGCGATCTGTACTAGGTCATCTACCATAAGTATAAAAATTTGCCTGGTTGCTAACAACATAAAAAAATTATTATTTTGTGTGTGTGTGAAAATGCCAAGGAAAAAGCTGATAATTAAACTAATGAAGAGGTGAAGAAAGAAGCAGCTAACATAAGGTAGGATAACAATAGAAAGCATTTACTGAACAGCTACTACCTGCCAGATGTTTCACATTCATTATTGCTAATCCCCCAACAATTCTGCAAGGTACTGCTATCCCGACGTTACAGATAAAGCAACTAAGGATCAAGAGATTGCAGAGTATGCTGTGCAAGGCAGGAAGATTTTGAGCCAGCTCCATGTGACTCCAAAATATCATTGTGCAATACGCCAGTCACTTACCTGAGAATGCCCAGCTTTGTAGGGTTTAAATAAATACATGAACATACAGCCCAAATACATGCTCAAAGTACAATGCGGTGAACTGTCTGCTCAGGAGAGGGCACATCTCTAGTGGCCTGCCGTCTATCTGAAGCATGGTCCGGAGCCACACAGGGCCCAGTCACGCAGCAGGCTGGTCACCCCCTCCTAAGAGCACTTTCTCTTCAAACACCAACAACGAAGGAGGCAAAGTACAGGCTGCACTACAATCTCCCAACTCCAACTCCCAGGTCCCACCCACCCATTTATCAGTAACTCCCTCTACAACATCTTGCAGGGTGGTCATCCATCTCTGCCCAATACTCTAGGTGACAGACTACTCACAAACAAGGCCAGTTTCATTATGCGCAGCCTCAATCCTTAGAAAATTCATTATACTGAAAATAGTTTTTCCATCCCTAGTTCCACAAAAATCATTTGCTCCCTCTGTCTGTCATTACAGCCTTCAATAGCTGGAAGGCAGCTCTCGCTTTCTGAGGAGACAGCCCTTCTCCAGGTCTTGCTCAAGTGCTTGTTTCTGCTCTAACTGCTTCAGTTGTTCCATCGCTTCCTGCAAGTCTTGTTCTTTCATAACTCACTGGTTTTCCACTCTAATTGTTCAGTTCTGTCTAGACACAGCTTCCAGACAACATCCTTCTTGAGATACATTCTAGGCTCTTCAGTATCTCTTGGAGTGTGACATCCACAGCTGAACACAACATTACAAAAGTGGTCTGACCACTGCAGCTTCTAGCACTCATTCAACCAGCGTGTATTAATAAGTAAGCATCGTCTACAAACTCACGCTGAGTCATGTCAGAAAACGGGCCTGGCGATCTGCTTCCAGACAAACAGCTTTAAAAACCTCAGGGAGCAGATCTGCTGTGTACAGACGGGGTCGCCATGAACTGGACTTGCCCTCACCGCCACTAACCACAGTGTGTCTTTGTACTCGCTGCCACTGGGCCTGTTCTCGCTCACAGTGACCCTCCATTTTACTGGGAAAATAAGAAAGAACAAGACAGAATGTTCCAAGCCAAAAAGGAAACAAAAAACTCAAAGAAGAAACTAATTTGCAGAACAAATAAGAACAAAGAGCCTACATGAGCCATAGCCGAGATGCAAGAGGGCCCTGCTACCGCTATCAACCATTCTAATCAGGACTGTAGAAGAAAAGAAAAATGTGGAACAGAACCTCAAATTCCTAAAGCTACAAAAGACAACAAACAAACAGCCCTTACTAACCAGATTGAGGCCAGCTTTCAGAGATTACTGCCCTGAGACACTCTTCTGTGCCTTGCTACTAGCTACCTAACAAATTGGCTCAAAAAATATTATCATCCATAAGGACTGTACTCCTTTACAAAAATCACCCATATATGTCCCTGAGGTCAATAATTATTTCAAAACAAAGATAAGAGTATAAGTGGGCAGGGAAATTCTATCAGTGGAAAGAGATGATGAGAATAGCCATACAATGTGAAGAATGTAGCCAATGTCACTCAACAGCCTGTGTGGATATTGATAAATGAGAACCAAAAATGCAATGTAAACCTTCACTGAAGAAAAAAATGTTATTAAAATAACAACTATAAGATTCAAATGGCTCAGGTCAAAGCTCTTCTGTTTAAATATATTACTATAAAATGTATCTCTAGGAAAATGTTAGACACTGGCATAGAAAGAGCCAGCTATCACAACAAGAAGCCAAATACTCCAAGAATGATCTGCTACTGCTTTAAAAAACCATGAATACTCATACACAGACACACACACACATACACACACATATATCAACCCACTGCCGTTCAGTCAGTTCCAACCATGGCAACCCCACAGGCAGGGCCGACTTTGTACCACAGGCCTTCCATGATGGCAAGTCTTTTACGGAGGCAGGTGACGTATCTTTCTCCTGAAGCACAGTTGGTGGTTTTGAATTGCTGATCTTTCAGTTAATAGCTAAGTGCTTAACCACTGTACCACCAGGCCTCCTCTAAGTAAGTTACAAGAAAGGAGACTATAAAAGCCTTTTTGTGCACACTTGGCCCAAGGCTGGGCTTCATTAGTGTCAAACATAAAGCTTCTAGACCAACATCATGGTGACTCCTGTTGCTTGTCCTATCCAGAAAGGCCAGTGCTGAGATGTGGGAGCAAGCAGAAAGCCGCTCCAAACCCTAGCCCAGCCCCAGCAGAGGGCCTGTCCCTCTGAACCAGGCTCAGTGAACCTTCAGTGACACTGGAAAAACACGGACGCGCTTCACTTCACTTTAAGACGGCCACTAGAGGGGGCAGAGCTGTTCAAGCACCAGGACTAACCTGAAAAATAGTTTAGAACAGTAAAACAAATGTATTCATAAAATGGTCTCTGCACACCTAGAAAAGGCTAAATTTTGTACAGTACTTTCAGTTTACTAGAGCACAAGACAGCAAGAACATTCAAAAGGCTGAAACCATTTTGCTAATTTTTTAAACCAATGCATGCAAACAAATTAAACCATCAGAAGTTTCATTTTGGGGGCAGGAGATGATAAAAATGTTTAAAATAAAAATACTCAGGGAGCTCTGGTGGCCTAGTGGCAAGAAACTGCACTGCAATCCCAGATGTGCCTGGTTCAAATCCACCAGATGCTCTGCTGGAGAAGGAGGGACAATCTCCTCCTGTACCAGTCAGATCTGATTTGATGGTACAATGCACAAAAAATAGCAATAAAAAAAATTTAAAAATTAAAAAAAATATTCATGCTTGAGGGGCACTTAGTTCCTGTTAAAGGAAATGAAAAATATTTAGAAACATAATGATAATGGTTGAAAAACACAATACTTAAGGATACTTTGGGTAGAATATTTAATGATCCAGGGAGTATCAAGAGAAGATGGAAGGAATACACAGAGTCACTGTATCAGAAGGAATTGGCTGACACAGAAGAATTTCATGAAATGACATATGAGCAAGAGCCTATGGTGATCAAAGAGGAAGTTCAAATTGC